AATTGCAGGTCGTCCGTGCTCACAGAAACAATTTTTGAAGAAGTCAACGAAACGTATGAAAGCACAAGATTACGCACTTCGAGGAAAATTCGAGCTACACGAGTCTAAGGTTTATCTAGATGTGAACGAAAAATATCTGATGCAAGATGCAAAAGTACGTGAGGTAGACCAGACAAAGTGAACGCGAAAAATCTCGGGGAAAATTGACCAGCTTATACTTGGAGCGGTAAACCAAGCAGCGGATGAATATGCCACACAGAGCCCCCTCAAGTCAATGAGTGATCTTGCAAGCAGTTCCAGGTAGCACAATAGTGCTACGAAGGGATGAAAAGGCGTGAAAAGAACCTATCGACGTGGAAGGCAAACAGAAGAGAAGATAAGTGAAAATAACTTCCACAAAACACTCATAGACCAATATTTGGCCGGTTAAATATTTGACCGTAAATACCTGAAGAAGGCCGAAAGGTGTATTAGAAGCACCCTCAAGTCAATGACTGATATTGCAAGGCAGCTGCAAGCAGCACAACAGTGATATGAAGACATGACGAGCCGAGATAAGAAGCCATCGGGGTGGAAGACAAGCATTGAAAAGAAGGTAAACTTGTTGAATTTCCACAAAACCCTCAAAGAACAGGCTCTGGCTGGTGAAAAACGTGAGTAAAATAAAAAGTTATGAGATCTCATGTGCATTCAAAATACAAAACGCCATATTCGAGCTGTTCAGAAGACGGTTTTATAGAAGTCTGACCGAAGAATAACCCGTAAGCCACTGAGGAACCAGGGATTTTTGGGGTACGATGTGAAACTCCGTAATGGGAAAGTATGATGATATCCAGCACAACGACTACCTAGAAGAATTTGTCCCAGATGATGAAGTGCATCATACTTATCCCTCTAAAGCCGAATTCGGGAAAATAGTCTCCTATTTGCCCAATTCAAAAGCAGCCTGATGGAGTTTATAACTTCTTTATTAAGGAGTGTACCTCCTTGCATCCAGACCTGTACAAAATAGTAAGAAGGATTTATGTGGATGAGGAGGAACAAGATTCGTGATTCTATGGAGATACTACCCAGCTAATTCCAAAAGGTGTCCCAAGTAAAGGCAGCGACTTCAAACCAATAACTTGTATGTCGAACCTTTACAGGCTAACAACAAAATGTGTGGCACGCGTCATGCAGTTAGATGCTGCCTGAGAAAGCTGCTCACAGAAAGTCAATTAAAAACTGTCATCCAGATTGAAAGTATGAAGGAACAAACACAGTTTTTGATTGATGGCGGTTTCCAAAGAGCATGGGAACCAGCATTACACTACGTGGTATGACATCAAAAAAACGTTCCATTCAGTTAATCACGGATACCCGATTAAGTGCACTGAACGGCTTAACATGCTATGGTGGATCAGCAGGTTTTTGAGAAGCCTCACTCCAGATGGTCAATTACATTGAAAAGCAATGGAAAAACTATAATGGAGAAGAAAATATAGCAAGGAGTTATTCAAGGTGATAGTCTTTCTCCGCTGCTATCCGTCCTGTGCATAGACCCGTTGAGCCGTCGGCTCAATGTAAGGTACTCAAAGTTGGCGGTTCCAACTGATCAAGGAGTGCGCCTTACAAATCATATGTTCTTTGTGGATGATCTCAAGATCTTTGCGACCGATCAGGATATCATTAAATCTATGCCAAAAGAAGTTGAGAGGCTTCTTGTTGTGGTAAGACTAGAAGTAAATTCAGCAAAGTCAGCTACTATCACCCAGGTATGCACCGATAAAGCGGCGCTATTGGAACTCAAGGGTATAAATACCTTGGAATAGTGGAGGACAGGACTAGTGCACTTGCCCATGAAAGCTACAATAAAGGCCGTGCAGAGATTTTAGTGAGAATTGAGCGGTTAGCCAAAACTGCACCGAATGGCGAGAACTATATCAAGGCTGTGAATGAGTACGCCATAAGTTTAATAAATTTTTACGTCGGGGTGCTCAAGCTGGAGCCAAAAGACTTCATGGCTATACATCACGATATTAGACAGTTACTAATCAAATACGGAATTCACAAGCAAC